GGAGAACACGACAGAAATGGAGCCCTACAGCTGTGTTTCTGCATGGTGTGCGGGGCTGCAAAGCAAGCTGGGGAGCCTGCCTGTGGGCAGGATCCGGTAGCTTGGTGGGCCAGATGAAGCCCATCTGCCATATTTTGCCTGGGCCTGCACAAGTAGCTTACTGACTGACAGTAGGGCTATGTCTACATTGGCGCAAGTTCTTGCGCAAGAACACTGACATTCTAATGTATGAAATCAGTGCTGCTTGCGCAAGAACTATGATGCTCCTGCTCAGGAATAAGCCCTCTTGCGCAAGAGGCCAGTGTAGACAGGCAACATGAATTTCTTGCGCAAGAAAACCCTATGGTTAAAATGGCCATCAGAGCTTTCTTGCACAAGAGAGCGTCTACACTGGCAAGGATTCTCTTGCGCAAAAGCACATCTCTTGCGCAAAGGCACATGCCAGTGTAGATGCTCTCTTCTGGAAGAGTTTTTGCACAAGAACTCTTCCGCAAAAGAGTTCTTGCGCAAAATCATGCCAGTGTAGATGTAGCCTAGGAGAATGGAGAATAGAATGGCAAATAGTACAAAAATTCAGTTCTTCCTTAGTGACAACTTACATGTGAAATGAAGGAGGAAAAGCACAGAGATAGTAGCAGCCATGAATGGGTGAAGGTCATAGTGTCAGTGAGTAATCCATGACCTACTAACCTGCTTAAATACATTGACTTGCATGCACACAATATTTCCTTGGTTTTTTTCCTGTCTTGTTCTGGTCTAAGGGTAATGAGATTGTTAGTTCTTACCTAAAAGTGATGCAAGTAGCACTAGGAGTGTATTGATATCATCATCTTCAAAGCATGATGCAGCACTTGCGATATTTTCACTGTAGTTCCACAGGGTTTTGCATACCAAGCAAGCCAACTGCCAGTCTGTAGGCCCAAAATCTCTTAAACAATCTACTAACCTGTTAGTTGGGGGAAAAAAAGTGTTAATGTTGTGTCCAATTTCATTCTCTCATTCCATTCAAAATCAAATCAGTCTTAAAACACACGCAGACCCAGCCCATGTTAGGAGTGCAGGGAAACAGGCATCAGCACAATAGTAAACTTAATATTTTACTTTCTTCCTCATTCTACTGCCCCTTCTTTTTCAAGTTCTGTGCCTGACTGATCTCCTGCTCCTGCTTGTTGTTTCACCAGCATGCACTCTGATGGTGACATGACAGCTGCTACAGAACTCTACCACATAGCAAAGCTGCAGAGTGGCTAGATAAGAACTGATTGCTCCCCCAAAAGTGGCAGCTTTGAAAAGCTTTCTCTGGCTCTTGACCTCTCTGAGTGGTCACTACTATAGTGTATTTCTCATGAAAACATTGGATGAAGTCCAGCTTTACAACTAGGGTTCCAAAGTTAATCCACCTACAATTCTGAGCAGGATGAGCCTTTGAGGGCAACAAAATCTAGTTATAGGGGTGCTACTGCCCCATAGCACCTCCTGCTGGACAAACCTGGTAATGCCAGCATTCCCAACTATTTCCTTCCCTGAGGCGCGTCTCCTCAGCTTTTCCACACACAGATCTTTATGGAAAATGTGCCTTAGACCTCCTGCAAAATCACACATTCGGTACACCTTCTAGGACAGTAAAAGTCCAACTAAAAAATTCCAACAAACAAAAAGTTTCTTATGCCCCTTGTCCTTCTCTTTTGTGCCTGTTTCCTGAGAGAACACAGGACTTAGACCTTTATTTTCAGTTTTGACCACAGTGGACTTGTCTGAACAGTGGAGATTTGAAATTTGGGGTTCATGTCACACAATTCAAAGTGAAACTTATCTGAAGCTACTGAGCTGAATTCGTAGTAAGAGTTTCGCAGGACTACATGTCAAAAAAAATGCCAATATACAGCAAGCCTGTTGTCAATATCCAGAATAATTACTACTGTAGTCAAATGGATGGACTTGGTTCCAGGCAAAATGTTTCCATTAACAGAAAGTTGTCACTAACTGTGTTGCTATTAAAATTGGAACCTGCAACCATCTACCATCAGAGAGCAGATATAACTGGTCACACATCCCCCTAACATTTTCAGACTCCATTCATTACCTTGTTGAAAGAGGAGCTATTCAAACAACATACAAAACTTTTAATTTTTCACAGCATTGGGGCACACGTTTCTCTGATCAACAGTATGAAAGCGTACAAGCAAATGGAAAAGTTATCAGATGAAGGTGGATGGTGTGCTCCTAGTTGTTCTATTTTCCATGTTCTCGGTTTGCTAGAGCAGCTCCCAAGCCATCTAATCATGAAGAAGTTTTCATAAATGGTAAGTCAGAGTGGAAGAAATTGGAGCCTAAACCAAGGAAGCATGAAGCATCAGAAGGTCATATCAACTATTCTTAGCCTAGAAAGAATTGTGCAACACTCAAGAATTCTGTGACTAGTGATGAAAAGCTAAAGCAGGAAATGAAAAGAAACACCATTGGCATTTAATGCTGCAGAGATTTCTATAGTGCATCCTATTTCTTGGTGAGACATTTTCCATTTTCTGGTGATGCTGAACACTGGGTCTGTGTCTAGACTAGCAAGTTTTTCCGCAAAAGCAGCTGCTTTTGCGGAAAAACTTGCCAACTGTCTACACTGGCTGCTTGAATTTCCGCAAGAACACTGACGATCTCATGTAAGAAATCAGTGCTTTTTTCAGAAATACTATGCTGCTCCCGTTTGGGCAAAAGTCCTTTTGCGCAAAAGGGTCAGTGTAGACAGCTCAGATTTGTTTTGCGCAAAAAAGCCCCGATTGTGAAAATGGTGATGCCCCGATTGTGAAAGTGCTTTTGTGGAAAAGCGTCCGTTCCAATCTAGACGCTCTTTTCCGCAAATGCTTTTAACGGAAAACTTTTCCGTTAAAAGCATTTGCAAAAATCATGCAAGTCTAGACGTAGCCTGGGGGTATGTCTAGACTACAGGGTTTTGTCGACAAAAGTGGGGTTTTGTCGACAAAACTATACCTGCATCTACACTACCGCCGAGTTCTGTCAACAGTAAGTTGACAGAACGCAGCAGTTTTTTGTTGATGGCGGTAAATCTCATTCTATGAGGAATAATGCCTTTTTTTTGACCGTTATGTCGATAAAAGGTGCTATTGCATCCACACTGTGCTTTTTCCTCAGAGAGCATCTAGACTCTCTGTCAAAAGAGATATGCTGAGTAAAGCCCAGAGTCAGCTAGGGGAGTCCCCAGCAGATCCCAGGGAAATGCTGTACGGAGCCTGGGATCAGCTGGGGTGTCCCCCAGCTGACCCCAAGTTCCAGGTGGTATTTCAAAGCAGCAGCGCTGCATGGAGTCGGGATCAGCGGGGGATTGAGTCCATCGCTGAACCCACACTCCATGTTGGTGAGTCTGTTCTGAAATACACAAAAGCCTCCAGGCTCGTGTGCATTTCAAAGCAGAAGCACCCTCATGGAGCCCAGAGTCAGCGTGACTTCCCACTGGCATTTCAAAGCAGAGGCTCTTGTACATTTCAAAGGAGGAAAGCAGAAGTGGCTATCGACTCGTCAAGTAGTCGATGGAAATTCCAACTACTCGACTAGTAAATTAATTGTTATTTAACATCCTTAGTTTAGGCTGGAGTTTAGGGAAAACTTTCTAACGGTGAAATAAGTTGCCTATGGAGATTGTGGAATCTCCATCATTGAAGATGTTTAAAAACATTTTAGACTAATACATCAAGGATGATCTAGATAATACTTAGTCCTGTTGTGAGTGCAGGGGTCTGGGCTAGATCAGTGGTTCTCAACTAGAGGTACACATACCCTTGGGGGTACACAGAAGTCTTCTAGAGGGTGTATAATGTCATCTAAGTATTTGCCTAGTTTTACAATGGGCATTAAAAAAGCATTAGTAAAGTCAGTATAAACTAAAATTTCATACAATGACTTGTTTATACTGCTCTATATACAATATGCTGAAATGTAAGTACAGTAAAACTCCAGTTATCTGGAATCCAGTGGTCCGGCACTCCTGATAGTTCAGCACCACCTGGAATCTGGAAGTGCTCCAGGCAGCCGGACAACAGGAGCTGCTCTGCCCCGGGCATCCCGGAGTCAGCCGCTGGTCAGTTTCAGCAGCAGGTGACTTAGGGACGTCTGGGGCAGAGCAGCTGGCGTGTCCCCCCCCTACCCCAGACTCCTCATAGCCCCCCCTTCCGATAGTCCTGCATATCTGATAATCCGGCACCCCCTGGGTCCTAAAGGTGCCGGATTATCGGAAGTTTACAATGTTTATATTTCTATTGATTGATTTTATAATATGGTAAAAATGAAAAAAGCAAGCAATTTTTCAGAAACAGTGTGCTGTGACATTTTGTATTTTTATGTTTGCTTTCATAACCAAGTAGTTTTTAAGCGAGATTAAACTTGGGGGTACACAAAACAAATCAGACTCCCAAAAGGTGACAATAGTCAGGAAGGGTTTAAGCCCCTGGATTTAGATGACCTCTCAAAGTCCCATCCAGTCCTAGGATTATCTGCTTAGGCCACCCAGAATGGGTGTTCTCAACAGTTGAATCAAAACATTAAACAAATTCTGATGGAAGTAAAAACTGCAAAAAATTATGCATTGTTGCTCAACTGTACACTGGATTGTTTTCATAAGGAACAAGTATCTAATTTTTCAATATGCAGAAATGCATGAAGAAACAGCATCAACAAAAAAGTCTTGTCCTACATTCCTGAATGTCAAAGGCACTTGCAGAGCAGGTCTTGCTGAAACTGCTTTCTGGGACTTAATACAACAGACTGCAAAGCTCAATGTTACCGTAATGGCTCAAAATGAAGGGCAAGAATTTGCAGGCTCAATTTAGGAAAGTGCATTCCCGTGCAATATGTATGCTTTGTATTCTCAACTGGAACTTAACGCTTACTGTTTTTTTTCCTTGGGTTAAAAAATTATTTGGTATACTGTTGTTTGGTGGCTATTAAAAACAAATCTGGCTTTTCCAAAAACTTTCATCTAAAAAAAGATAGTAGAGGCTATAAAAACTATTAAATCAACAGCTGTCTTAGATCTGTAATGCACTCCTAAAGTTACATGATTATCTCAATGGTGTGGTTTGCTCAGAGGCAAAATGTCTGCAAGAGAAACTATCTACTTATTTCTTCACAGACCTCACTGTGTGGAACAAGGCATTGAACAAAACCAGCAAAATGATATGCATATTACTATGGCATGCAGATTAACAAACAGCAACCTTCTACAATTATCATGCAACAGGTTTTGATATAGTACTTGAGAGAGGTGCAGTTCTTTTGGCTGTCTTGGATATCGAACTAACTTTTCTAGTTATTCATTCAAGGGGGAGACAGATAACAATATCTGAAGATGGAGGAGCCCAGAGTGAAATGGATAAAAAAAGACATGTTCAGGATTGATATTTTAAAATTCACTTATGAACACTGTTATTTACAGGAGGTTTAAGGGAATTTTTAAGTATGTATGACTTCTTACATGTGTTTCTATAACAGGATGTTGACTCTCTGGAGTTAGACTTATCAGCTAACCTAGTATATGAACTTGTGACATTAAACCGTATTTTGAATAAAGATGAAGTAAAACTGTATGAGATTCTGAACATTACCATTAAGAACAAACAGTAGTGAGTATTTTCCAATGTTTACATAGCACCACACATATATTTATAAATTCCTATTACTGAGGCTGCAGATGAAGTCTTTTTCTCCAAGTTAACAATCAGAAAGATCTATTTATAGTCTCAAATGTCACAGAAGAGATTGAGTGCTTTAGTTCTAGTGTCTACTGAAAGTTAAGTTGGAAAAGCAGGTGGACTTCAGAGAACTGATCAATACTTTTGCAACCAAAAAGGGAAGAAAGATTGTTTTGAAGTGATTTTATCTGCATACTGGGTGAACTACAGACTTTTTTTAAATTTATGATTTCAGGCCACAGACTGATATCTACTTTAACTCTATGTACCTGGTGGTAATATGCAGTGGATTCTGCATTATCTGATGAAGTGTTTTGCTTTTATGGATATATAATTTTCAGGCGCTATCACCACCAGGTGGGATTTTATAAAACACAGGATAAGTGATGAGCCAACCAGTTGTCATTTATTTTTATCAGTATTGTACGGGGAGGGTCTTAGCCTTAAATATGGCTTCCTTTCATTGTACTTAGTAGTAGAACTATAGTGTCCATTTGTGATGATGCCAACTGAAAATTCTAGGATTCTTTATGACTTGACTTCAAGCCACAGCTGAATCCACAGTTATTTTCATGACTGACTTATTGTGTAAAAGTGACTTTACTAAGAACTACTCAGCAATTAGAAAGGTTTTACTATTTCAAGTTTTTCTATTGCCAAAAAACAGTACCCAACAATACGCTTCCTTTTTTTCTGTGATTTGGAAGTTAAACCATAAAATTAGATTATTTGCCAGTAATTGGAATGTTTTTATCAAATCATCTGCATGGTTCCATATTCAGACTTTGGGAGGCACTTGTATAACACCAGAGAATGGGGAAAATACAGCAGAAATTCAGCCAGAGAACAAGTGCTTACAACAGAGTCATGATCTAAAGCAAGGGTGGAAAACCTTTTCTGGGTTGGGGGCCACTGACCCATAGAAAAATCAGTCCAGGGCCACAACAAGAAGAAAAAAAACCTTTTCCAGGGACCAGGAACTAGTAGATTGTGGGCCCTTCTGGGGGAGGGAGGGGGGCAGGGTACAGAGCAGGATCTGGAAGGGAGAGAGTAGAAGTAGGCTGGGGGTCCAGGGTCTGGTGGGGGTAAAAAAGGGGACAGGAGATTGGGGCATCTACCTGGCATAGCTCCCAAAGGGCACAGGGGTCTTCACAGAGCTTTTCATGTGGTAGAGAAGCACTTCCTGCAGGCAATACCCCTTGCCACTCCCATTGGCTTATTCCCCCCTTGCCAGGCAGAGCCTACGGGCCACATCTGGCCCCAGCTTGCCTTGATCAGCTTGTGAGCTTTGGGGCTCCCCCTTTGCAGTTCTGACTTGTCCCACTGCTAGGTTAGAGGCAAGCCCCAATCCCCATGAACCTAATAAAGGCAAACTGTGGGCCAAATTCAGCCCACAAGTTGAAGTTCCCCACACCAATCTAACGCCACTTTATTGTGATCAAGACACACAATATCCTTGATCAGGACTTTTTCCCTCTGAACTTACTTCTTAATTCCTCCTCCTTCCTTTAGTATAGGTCGTTTGTTCTTATCCACAGTAAGGTTTAGCAGAACTCCACAGGCAGAAAAGCAGACATCTTGATGTTTGGCATCAAGCAAAGCAACCATAAACTTGTATACTAGATTGAATAGTAAGAAACAAAATCATCCTTAAAAAATATGGACTTGAACTATACTGTGCTTAGCGCATTTGTATACTTAGAGGGCAGTAAGAAGCATTTAATTGAAGCATACAGGATTGCTTGGAAATATTACCTGATAATACGTTGTTAGAGTAGTCTAATGAGATTAGATATCAGATTACATTTACAAAGTGGGTTCTAACCCACAAAGCTTATGTCCAAATGAATTTGTTAAGTCTTTAAGTTTCCACAGGACTCCTTGCTGTTTAAACCAATATTTCAATTTATTTTTCATTTAGCAATATTACATCCTGATATTGGTATGAACTGTAAGGCCAACATTTTCCACCTGTGGTACCTAAAATTAGGTACGCAAATCCATCTTTTGGGCACCAAATATTGAACTCATGTACTTCAATAGGAGCTGTAGGTGCTTATCACATCAGAAAAATCAAGTCCCTTACATCTGGATTTCTAAAAGAGGTATAGTTACTTAATGTCAGGCACCAAAGTTTGAACATTTTGGCCTTTGTGCCTAGCAAGAACTACACCTGAATGTGCCATGAGCCTAGGGTAGAGATCCAGATAAGAGACAAGTGCCATTATAATACAAGAAATTTAGAGGGAAAAAAAAGTTAACTAAATATTGCTAGATGCTAAGATCTGGCATTTGCCCCAAAACTCCTCCTGCCATGAAAAGGAAGAATGTGATGCGAATGCTGGCATTTTACACATTACCCAGAGGCAAATGAGAGCTCTCTGTTGGTGAGGTTGACAAATGTTTTAAGATGCATGTCACAGAATGCTATAAATATTGTCACATATAGTACCCAGAGGCCCACAAATGTAAAAGCTTATGAATACTTAAACTGGAGTTTCATTTTACACAGAATCATTGTGCCTTCTAGTCAAAATGAACTTTAGGAATCTGGAGAGCCAGAAGAAAATTTTGAGACAGTATATTATTAAAGAACAGAAAATTTCTGTACACATACATGTTTCTTCATATATGTGCACATTATATATGCTTTGATAATATTTATCAACATTACCAATACATGCTATTGATGCTGTGGCTACTGGATTTTTCAGTGTTATATTACATGCTTGTATGTTTCTAGTTATATGTTAGATGTTGACTGGCACCAGGTGCCTATCTAGATAGCTTACACAGAATCTTTACTAACTCAGCAATAACTTACCTTTTCTCTGTATAATGAAATCACATATTTCAAAGTACTGGGAAAGATTGCCAAAGACTCTCACAGCCTCCAAAATTCCATCCATATTGCTGCTCATCAGCAGCTTTAGAAGCACTATTTTCAGAGAAATAAAATAGTACAGTTATCATGACTTACGGTTTATATAGCATCAAATGTGCCACTAGGCTCTTTACAGAAACATATGCAAATCCTGCTTCGAAATGTTTACAAACTAAATGCATAAAGTAAACAGGGGAGGGGAGAGGGTTGGATGAAAAGAAAGAGAATGAAAGAAATGAATTATTGATTCAAATGTACTGTTGATTCAACATTTAATCATCTGTTTAGTAAACACTTCCTTGAAAGGAGTTTGCGTTTTAAGGAGGGATATGAAGGAGACAATAGGCAAACACCCTGAACTAAGGATGTTAAACAACAATTAATTTACTAGTCGAGTAGTCGATGGAATTTCCATCAACTACTCGACAGGCACTTCCAGATTTCTCTTTTGAAATGTACAAGAGCCCAAGCTGGGACTCTTGTACATTTCAAAATTAGATCGCTGCATGCAACCCAGGGCCAATGTGAAGTTCCGCTGACTCTGGGCTCCACATGGGTGCTTCTGCTTTGAAATGCACTTCCACCACAGTGTTTCAAAGGAGCAGCACTGCATGGAGCCCAGGGTCAGCTCCATGTGGTACTGCCGCTTTGAAGTACTCCCTTCCCCCCTTTGCTGTTTCTTTCCGATAGAGGCAGCGGGGGGGGGAAGGGGGAAGGATTAGTTGACTTGACTATGTGATAAGTATATTGTTGGATAGTTGACTAGTCCTTAACATCCTTACCCTGAATTGGCTCAAAGAAGAATTTCTAGAAATAGGGGTGACACAGAAGGTGGATTGGATAAGAATGATATAAAACCTATACACACACCAGCTAATTTGGCAACTGAAGACTGCAATGGAGGAATGAAATGAGACTAAAGCATACAGGAAAGGCAGAAGTTGAGTGGGCCTCAGAGATGTCAAGGGGTTTCAATTTAATGTGCAAAGATAGAAAAGCTGGTGAAGAGACCCAAAGAAGGGTATGCATGGTTGGAGCGACAAGCTAAGTAGATTGCCCAAACAGAATGCAACTTCCCTTCCACAGAGAAGGAGAGAAATGATCAGAGCCTGAAAAAAGGATTTTGTAGTCAGAACAGAGAAAAATGGAGGATTCTCAGACATACAGGGTCTTCAGTGAAGAGACAATGAAGCTTAGTCTTCTGGTGGATGTGTGGGTCAACCCTTAAAGTACAGAGACTGGGTCTTGCAGAGACATGTGACCATGTCATCAGATACTGGAATCCATCTTAAACTATATACTTTTATTCTAGTAACTAGAAGGGGGTCAAACTCAAAATCAATTCCTGCCTTATGCAAATTCTATTTAAGGGTGAGAAGTGAAGTAATCTAGAGAGTCAATTCTCCCCAGAACTCTACCTAATGACTGCTTGAAAAATTTCAGGCTCAATAGGAGAAAAGGCTGGACCCAAACTAGATTGAGAACTATATCTAAGGTGAGAACTTATTTGTAATCAGTTTTAGTGAATCTAGTTCAGTTTGCATGTTCTCTTTTTGCTTAGTAACTTGCTTTATTCTGTCTGCTCTCCCTTATGGCCACTTAATCCTACCATTTATACTTAATAAAATTACTTTTATTAATAAACCTAGGGTAAGTAATTGTTACCTGGGGAAGGGGAAAAGAGTCTGTGTATCTCTTTCTTTACCCTGAGAAAGAGAGCAAACATAAGCTTACCTTGTGTAAGAATTGATACAAAGACAGATAGATTTATCTGGGGTTCAGGTCCCATTGTGGCTGTGCACATGGGTGCTAAGGCAAGTCCCTTAAGTTCAGCTCTAGAAAAATCAGCTAATCTTAGCATCTGTATTATACTGCAGAAGACTGTGTGACCCTATTTCTGTCACTACTGGAGGAGATATGAGGGTCTGGCTCAGCAGGACAGAGCCGAGGGGCTCTTATGAAGGTAGGAAGGTGAGCTTAGCGGTAATTCAGCACATCAAGTGACAGTGGATTTATCTGAGGTTATCTAAGGGGGACCTAGTGACTGAAGTCCACAGTCCTCAGGTTCAGAGTACTCTGTGTGTCCTGTAACAGGGTGCACTCACCTTAGTGAGCACCCGTAGGCAAGTGTGTATACCTGCACTTTTTTTCTGTTTATGGTGGCTCTTCAGTGACTTAGCTCCCTAGCCAAGTATCTCTTAGCCTGTTAAAACAAAGTGAATCCCTTCCAGGGTACAAGTCTAATAGGGCCTCTCTGAGGCTACGTCTAAACTGTAGACTTCTTCCAGAAAAGCTTATGTGTAGACAGCTCCTTTTTGCACAAAAACCCCCTCTTGCGCAAGAGCTGTTCTTCCTGAAAAAATGAGGAAGAACGGCTTTTGTGCAAAAGAGGGGTTTCGTGCAAAAAGGAGCCATCTACTCAGCTCCTTTCTGCGCAAAAGTGGCTGCTAACTAATTATGCAAATGAAGTGTGGCGATAGTCCACTCCATGCTTCATTTGCATAAGCTTTTCCAGAAGAAGGCTACAGGGTAGACATTGCCTTAGCTTCCTCTAGTGTCCTTCCATTTGTTCCCACTCCAGAATAGAGCAGTGCCCCAGAGCTCCTTTCATGGAGGCAAGGCCTTTATCTTCTCAGAGTCCTTCTGGCACCAGCTCGTCATCTGGGTCACTCTAAGTCTGTTCCACAGCTCTGGAGTGCCTCACTGTCTAGGCCACTTCCTAGTGGAGGAGGGACCTGATGCAGCCCCTCTACTTTGGGTCCCAGGCCAGAGACCTTGTAGATAGCAGCTGTCTGCACTGTCCTTTTAAATAACTGTATTGCTGCTATAATTGCCTGGGTCACTTCCCCATGGCTCCAGCATATTCTTCACATTTTTATCTCACAGCCTCATCCCAGTAAGAGATCCAGCAGCCAGCCCAAAGAACTACCTGCTCTCCCCCAGCTCTAGCAAGGAACTGCTCTTGCTCTGGCCATGCCAGGGAAGCCTCAAGGCCTAGGCCATCCCATCATATTGTGGCTGGTGAAATAAGTAGATTTGTCCTAAATGTTGATGATGAACACTACAGCTAGTCTGAAAGCTTTTTCTGCTGGCTACTTCCTGTTCAGCAGTTTTACGTGAGCAGCTCCTGACACCACTATTTTCAGGAGAAACAAACTGGTTTCCAGCTTTGCCTAGGAGTTATGAATTGCCTTGTTCCTTTTCAGTGCACAGTCAAGGACTGCTTCAGGAACCACCATTCATCAGTCTTCATAGGTATCTTATGCAGGAAAGATGGAACCACTCCTCATCTGTAAGGAACTAAGCAATGAGAATCCTCCACTCTTTTCCCTCAGAGTAAACAGAACAGTCTGGTCTCATTCACATCTTCCTTTAGATGTTGTTATACCAGAGAGGACTTAACTATGGCTCAGCCATCTTAAGGGATATATTTTTTCGTCTCTGGAACACACGTGACTGCAACACAGATACCATGGATGTTGCTGAACAACAGTGGACTGGGGCAGGAGGGCCAGCAGCTCAGAGTCCTGCAAAAGGCGAGGCTGGTAGTAGTGGGGTCAGGGCCTCAGCAGACCAACAGCAGCAGTGGGGCTGTGGTAGCAGGGCAGGGGCAGCCTGTGCATGCCAACCCAGCAGCGGAGTTGTGCCATGGCAGTCAAGACTGGGGCTACATGCCAGCCCAGCAGTGGGAACAAAGCTGTGGCAGCCTGGCTGGCAGTAAGGCCAGGTTGCAACAGCCCAGCAGGGCCACATGCTGGCTAGCAGCAGGGCCAGTGCCCCAGCAGCAGGGACAGCACTACGTGCTGGCAGTGGGACAGGAGCAGCAGTTATAGCAATAGCCTGCAGCAAGGCTGAAGGAGCAGGCAGTGGGGAGGGGCTGAGGAGCCCGGAGGCAGAGGTCCTTCCCTAGTCCGGCAAATACCCTCATCCGGGACCGCTCAGATTCCAAGGATGCCAGTCCAATGATTTTCTTGTTTCCTGGGGTAAGCAACTGTTGGGCCTTTTTGCTACAAGGGTTGCATCTCTTCTACAAATACTTATTGGGCTGAAAGTCAGGAGACATGAATTCTGATTCCTAATTCTGCCATCAATCTGCAGCGTAGCCTTAGCCAAGTCACTTCACAGCTCTGTGCCGCTCTTTCATGCCTTGTGTGTCTGATTTGACTATCCTATTCAGGGCAAGGATTCTTACTGTACATGTACTACTTACACAATGAAGCCCCAATTTCAGATGCAGCATCCACAGCACACTTACTTCATTATCAGCACCATCATATTTCCAGGGCTTTTAAAACTTTTTATTTGTAAATAAAGCAAATCTAAACTGAAGTTGAAAAAACATGCAATCACCTCATAATATTATTTTCACATTTTAGATATTTTGAACAGCTCTACCAAATATTGCATCTGGTGAGCAAGTGAATTTTGGGGGGAGAAAGACTGTTTTTGCAAAACAATGTAATATTGCACAAAATTCTAAAAATGAGGGATCAGCCTAGATAGCATGCAGGGATTTGATTCAGCTAAGGGAAAATTTTGACCCTATGCAATTCCTACAGTATACCACAGAATATATGTAATGACTTTTTTACATTGCCCAGACAATCAAAATACACACACCTTACCCAGGTAGTCTTGAAAGACATACAGAAGGAATTGATTTTTAAAAACCTTACATTCTGCAATGTGTAGCTTCTTGTCTTCAATTACAGAATTCCTCACTTTGTAGTAGGATAAATTGTTGATTGTTGCAGTAGCGTTGATCACCAGCTCCTCACAGTCATCTATTGACTTGTATTCTGATATTTAAAACAAATATACATCAGTCTTACCTTAAACACTCAAAATTAATTCACAGCCTAAAAGACTAACGTTTTGGCACACCAAACTCTGTGCAAACAAGGGTTATATTGGTAATCTGCCTGGACTACTGGAGATTACAACTAATTTGCATGAAATGAAGCACATTGTTCTGCTCAAGATAAGCCACTGTTTGCTAGATAGAGCTGGATAAAAGATTTCCTTATTTTAAATCAGCTCTATAATATTAGAGACTATGAACGTAGAGACCTGCACTTCTATAGTACAGGCAGTCCCCGGGTTACGTACAAGATAGGGACTGTAGGTTTGTTCTTAAGTTGAATCTGTATGTAAGTCAGAACTGGCGGTCAGTTTCAGCAGTGGCTGAATCAGGACGCCTGGGGCAGAGCAGCTGGGGTGCTGCCGGGTTGGTCCAGTAGCGCCGAGGAGCGGTGCTACTGGAGCACCCCAGCAGCACCCCAGCGGCTCTGCCCCAGGCGTCCCCAAGTCAGCCGCTGCTGAAACTGACCAGCGCTGACTACAGGAAGCCCGAGGCAGAGTTGCTCTGCCCCCGGCTTCCTGGAATCAGCCGCTGATCAGTTTCAGCAGCAGCTGACTTGGGGAAGCTTGGGGTTCTTAAGTTGAATCTGTATGTAAGTCAGAACTGGCGGTCAGTTTCAGCAGTGGCTGAATCAGGACGCCTGGGGCAGAGCAGCTGGGGTGCTGCCGGGTTGGTCCAGTAGCGCCGAGGAGCGGTGCTACTGGAGCACCCCAGCAGCACCCCAGCGGCTCTGCCCCAGGCGTCCCCAAGTCAGCCGCTGCTGAAACTGACCAGCGCTGACTACAGGAAGCCCGAGGCAGAGTTGCTCTGCCCCCGGCTTCCTGGAATCAGCCGCTGATCAGTTTCAGCAGCAGCTGACTTGGGGAAGCTTGGGGTTCTTAAGTTGAATCTGTATGTAAGTCAGAACTGGCGGTCAGTTTCAGCAGTGGCTGAATCAGGACGCCTGGGGCAGAGCAGCTGGGGTGCTGCCGGGTTGGTCCAGTAGCGCCGAGGAGCGGTGCTACTGGAGCACCCCAGCAGCACCCCAGCGGCTCTGCCCCAGGCGTCCCCAAGTCAGCCGCTGCTGAAACTGACCAGCAGCGGCTGAATCTGGACGGCAGTTCCGACTTACATACAGGTTCAACTTAAGAACAAACCTACAGTCCCTATCTTGTACGTAACCCGGGGACTGCCTGTACAGTAGAATTGCAGAGTTACAAATGTTATAGTTCTTTCAAAAGTCTACAACAAAGCACTGGTTTACTACAGCATTGAAACTTCAGAATTCAGAAGAAAACACTGCTTTTAGCCATCTTAATTTAAATGAAAAATATAGAAATTATTTCTTTACTTTGTCAATTTTTTCCTACACTTTTCCTTCTTTTTCAGTAGTTTAGGTTTAACATAGTACTGTACCATATATTTGTATTGTTTTTGCTGCTGCCCAAGTGTGTCCGTCCGATTCCAAATGCGGTGTTTGACCAGTTAAGTAGTGACTCTGGGGTTCAAAACTGAGGTACTACTGTAATACTGTGTGGTACAGCAAGATTGTATTTAGTTTGAAGGCTACTTGGTAGCTGCCTCTATTCTTAATATATTTGTATTGCAGCTACAGCACACTCAACAAGTTGTTTGTAATAAACACTTTGTGAATGCTGTCACTATTGAAATTGTTCTTGCTCTGAAATCTATATAAAAAAGCAGGATGGAAATAATTTATAGATCCAGGCATCATGCTGCTAGTATGCCAAACTATTCCATTTTTCGGCAAGATGATTTAGAACGGGGGTAGAGAACCTCAGGCCTAGGAACTGGATGTGGCCCTCGGCTTGCCTGGATCCAGCCCAAGGCTCAGGGCCACACACAGCATTGGAGAACCTGCGCTGGTGCACCAGTCTCCCCCGCTGTCATTCTGTGGTGCTGAAGCACACAAAATCTTCTAGGCTGGGGCTCCCTAGGCTCTGGGATGCAAGGGAAATGTCTTTCTCCTTCTCATTTGGGGGCTATAGTGAGGGTTTTTACCCTCACTTCTCACATGTGTGCAGCCCATGACTGAATTTTCTGTGGGTAAACAGCCCTGACCCAAAAAAGATTCTGCACCCCTGAATTAGAGTTACTAGCAGCAGCAAGTAGCTCAGAAGTGTCAATGCAAGCTCTATCCTCCAAGCTCTTTATTGTACAAATCAAGGGGAGTTCTGTACATAGTGTTTAAAATATACTGGCATGTTAGTTTTGCAGATTATGTCTGTTATATCAAGGCAGAATGTGTTTGTAGAAACTGGTCCAGAATTATAAAATTTTTGTGTTTAAAAAAATCCTCTGCTTATTTAGGATAGGGACAAGAACACAATCTCACTGTATGAGTTTTCAGTGTGACGTGTTTAAAAGAAAATTTTCCCTCCTTTTTGCCAGCCCTTTGTGTAGTCTTGTCTATTCTTAATAATTTGATCTATAAATTCTATCGGTGCACGAGGCTCCTTTGCATGCCTTCTGCTAGTGTAAAAATAAATTAATTTACATACTGCAATTAACATTATCAGATATATTTTTATATTTCAATAATACAGAAGATTTAATTAAGACTCTCCCAGAAACAAACACTGAAGTAATGAAGCACTGTACCTGCCTGACACAGTGAATGAAAATAATATATGAAAAAACAAACACAATATACAGACTTTACCTAGCACTGTAATAAGTAATGCCACAACATGATGGTTAGCTGCTAGAGCAGCACCGACACTAGGATGAATTGAGAGATTAGCGAGCACTCTTATCAGTTTTATAAGGATATCATCTCCTTCTGAAGGATGTTTTTGTTTTGTTTTATTTTGTTCTCCTTCATGCTTTTCTTTTTTTGCATTCAAATCAAGTTCATTGTAGGTTTGGAACAATGATATCAGAGTATCAGCACTTCCTTTCTCTTTAAAAAATTGTTCACGGGCCTGGTTGTTCTTCGCTGTTAAATTGCCAAGAATAAAAACAACGCGGACAACTAAATCCTGCAATAAAATTAATGAATTCTGTTAGATGGAGAGAAAGTTGAAGTTGTTAGAGGTTTGAAAAACATCAGTATTTCATGTATGTCACAATTTAATTAAAAGCAGTTCCACTGTAAATGGAGGAACACTAAATAGAGCAAAAAAAGGAAATACTCTTCGATAATGCATTTGATTACCCAGTTGAGGGAGGAGGATAAAAAAAAACTGAACAAAAGGCACAGATTTTTAGTATCACAGAGGTACTATGGGGTTTCCTAAATAAAAGTAGTCTATTTCTATCAATGATCAATAATCCAATAGGACAACAGGAGAGCACTTGAGGTAGATACTCTAGTTGCCTAAGTGGTGCTTTAATCAGTCTCCTAAATAAGCCGAGGGTGGCTTTGAAAGTCATTAGGGCCTATTTAGCACTTTACTCTGCTACTGATGCCCTAGAAAAAGAAACATTTTATAGCAATTGATGTGTCACGCAGTGGCATAAGGATGGGTGGGCAGGAATGGGCGGAAGGGGGGTAAGTTAGTGTGCCAGGGCTTCCCAGTACCCCGGACCTATTCCCCATCTGGCTTGCTGGGTGGAGCAGGGTAAGTCCCCATGTTCTGATCCTGCTCCCTGTCTGGAGAGCTGGGCAGGCTACCAGGGGTGGACCTGGGTGCATGGACTCAGGACCACCCATGGCTATGCTCCTGTAGTCACCAGATTTGCACTAGGAAGCACAAACCCAACAGTTTGAATTTGTTCAGCTGGTGTCTATATTTTTATTTACTCTTTTAAATAAAGTGGAGGGAAAAAATCAAGAGCCCAATGAAAAAGGTCTAGTCTTCTGTGTCACAGACCTCCCAATCCTAATATTGCATCTTTCATATTGCCTTTGCTTAACCATGGGGTTACAGCAATGTACATGATGCAAGAACTGACTAACTCAGCTAGCATCTCAAAACAATACCCCCTACTCCTAATGGCTTTTAATTAAACAGTGTGGGCTGGTTTAGCTATCGGAATTCTCCTTGTTTTCACTCCCAAAGATGTAATTACTGAAAACCACTGTCTCCATCAAAACCTAGCTAGTTTCCAAAACTGAGAGTCCAAGTACTAGCTCTGTTGCAACAGCAAGAATGTACTTGCATTAAACCACTGTTTTGGCAAATACCCTATGTGTTGTTTTTCATTAAATACAGAAGTCACATTCAGACCCTGTAATCCACCAAAAAATAAAACTCATACTTTATCAAGAGACATTCAAAGAATGGCAACTTGCTACTGTATATGTATTACTATTTGATAGAGATATTTTTTACAATTTAATCAATTGCTCATCAGTTCCTCCACATAATTTCTCCTTTAAACTACTTCTACAAGACCCTGCATCATACATATACATCTACGTTCAAAGACAAGAATATGAGCTTCAGAGTTCAGCACAACTACTAATGAATTCTTCGAGCAGGGCATCACCATCAAATGACCTCTAACTAGTCTCTCTCCTCAACTTTGGGCTCTACAGGGTATGACTCTGGCATTGCTCCCACTATTAATTATTTTACAAACATTCGAATGTCACTAACACAAGATATTTATAAATATTTTAATTTTATAAGTAATCATCTAGAAGCTTTTTACCTAAGCTGTTGCATCCTCAATGGAAGCCTTCCCATAAAGGTTAAAAAGAATTTGAAACAAACAGTTTATGAATCAGAAGAGAGAAGTGAAAAGTAAAAAAAGAAGGCAGTCTAGTTTAACTTGCTTCATACTGACTTTCTAATTTTGGTTAAAACAGTATCGGCTTAGCAATAGTTCTACCCAATCAGGGAACAGACAGGTACTGAACAGCAATCAATTTAACTGATATTTTGAGAAGTATGATCTTAGCTATGCTACAGACTGAACAAGCATATAAGGTATCATTTCTTTTTAAAATAACACATCCTGTTTTAAAAAGTACTGCAGAAGCTTATCATCATCCACTGACAGAGGATAAATAACACAGTCAAATACAAGAAATGCTGGTGTGACTATGTGCTTAGAAATTATATGCTATTTTTGGCTAAATTTTTAAAAATGTGCAAACCATATGCACAACTGAGCTCATTAATGTGAAAACAAAAATCATTGTTTACACAGCTATAGATGGAGTTATAGAAGAATGACACTTTCAAATCAGTTACAAGAATAAATGTACATAGAGAAGAGGGATTTTTGCACATCTGAAAAAAATCAGCAGTAGGTGGGGCTAACTAACATATAATCAAATATCTGGACTATTTACTGAAAAAGCATGCAGGCATTTCAGGCATATTGGCAAATAAACTAAATACATAATAAGCATTTATCAGGTTGATTTGCACAACCCAGGTAGAGCCCTACATGTGTACAAATAATTGGGATCCCTATCCAATCAGTGATCTGTAAGGATGGTAAACAATGAGAAAGAATCTATGGATGCAGATACCTGCTGCTTTGCAGGGCTCTAAACATGATTTTCAACAGGTAAGACATACTATTTAAAACTAGCACACACATATTTAGTACTGAAGACAAAGGAACACGATAATTCCTGTTTGTAACAAAGCACTCTGTTTAAAATAAAGAAATAGTTATCAAAAAGTACTGATGGGACAAACTTTATTTGATCTGTTATGAGCTAAGGATTGGTGACCTATTTCTTTTTAAGAACTTGGATTCTATCCCTAAAATGAACCCAAATCTTATTTGCAGGCTGCATGTGATGTCAAATAAAATAATCTGTATACATGAATTCCAAAAATTCCAGAAGAGTAGGACTTTTCAGCTTGGAAAAGAGACAATTAAGTGGGAATATGAGAGAGGTCTATACAATTATGAATGGTCTGGAGAAAGTTTTAAATGTTATTTACTCCTTCATTTAACACAAGAATGAGAGGTTCTTGCAGCAGTTTTAAAGCAAACAAAAGGAAGGAAGTACTTGTTCACATAATTCATAGTGAAATTGTGGAACTCTTTACCAGGGGCTGCTGTAAAGACCAAAACTATAACAGGGTTCAAAAGAAAACTAAGTTAGTTCCTGAAGTACAGGTCCATCCATCAATGGCTATTAGCCAAGATAGCCAAGGCAACTTCGCCTCTGTTTGCCAGAAGCTAGGAATGGACAATAGGGCATTGACCACTATTGAAAGACAGAATACTGGGCAAGATGGACCATTGGTCTGACTCAGTATAGCCATTCTTACGTTCTTAAATCAGGTTCCGTTTCTTTTAAGTTCTAGCCAGAGCCCAGGACACTTCTACATATGTAATTGTGCACTAGTACCAAATATGTACACACAAAGTTGACAAAGCAAAAAGCACAGTGTACATATACTCTTCATTACCTTTTAACATTGAATTTTGCTGACAATGGTCATGCACATTTGTCCATTTAGGCATACAAATACTTTTGACCAGGTAAGTCTAAAAGCTTATCCTTCACATTGCACTTCCAACAAAGGAATTCGTATTTGCAAATTCCCAGAATTTGACAGAGATTTACATTAGTAACTAAAAAGAACAGTTTTATTAGACTTTGGTGTTTAAAGATGACTGGTAATGCTGATTTTCATAAAGCTTTTTTTTTTTTTTTTTTAAATTAATGATGAAAAGATCATTAAAAGTTCAGATTTATCAAGCAGAAAAGGGAAAGCCATTTGACTAAATAAACTTGACCTAAAGTATTTTGTAGCAAGTGACCCTGTGTAGTGAGCAGGGGTGGCCACTCAGACCAAGAAGCAGAAGAATCCCTCTCCAAGCCCTGGTGGGCCGAGCCTACCCCCACCTCTTTACCTGCCTGAGTCAGAGGGCCGGACTACCTGTACAAAAGCCTAGGCCAGGAGCTAAGTCTGGTCCCAGCCGCGCGAGGAAGCAGAGGAAAGCCCTATGCTCCCAAGCTGGGAAGCTGCTGAGGACCTGGCAGATACGCTGAGGACTGGCCCAGACTGCTGGATCCTCAACCCAATGAGGAAATCCTGCTGACCTTAACTGAGGGTTCAGACCTTCATGACCCTGAGGACTGGCTGTGGAATCAGGTAAACCCCAAAGGGGAGTCTGAAAGTGGCCCACAGCAGCCGATAAGAGTCAGGCTGACTTGACTGTACTATCTTGAGTTAGCATGTTGCAGGCCGGATCCCCGCTTTCCCCAGTGGCAGTCAGCCCTGACACTGCCAAGGCCCTAGGCCAGAACACAGTGTACTAGGAAGGGCCTGCATCCATCCCCCCTGCGATCCCAGTCCCTGCCTGGCAGTCTCCCCTTTGCCACTACAAACTGCTTTGACTGTCTGCCCTGCCCTGCGCTAAGGCCTGGGGTCCCCTAAACACTCCAGAGTTTGTTTGACTTTCCCACTCTGTAATAAGGGCCTGGGCTTGAAGGGGACCACGGAGTGGTTATTTTATGTGACTGGGCTTACACAGACTGGGCACAGGGTGGATGCTGGCCAGAGCACAGACCTGAGCCCCAGGACTGAACAATTGGCTTACATCCAGTAATTTTTCTTTCAATCCACATCATGTGATGTGCTATCACCAGACATAAGACTAAGCCCACTTTTGGTGTGTTTGACATCTGTATCAGTCTCTGAGAGGAAACATGTATCAAGCTATAGAACTCAGATTCCACCAAAGGATTCTATTGTATTCCTGGCTTTAAACTGTTTGCTGTTCCTCTGCAAGTACAAACCCTGATGGAGGGTAGGGATGTAAAATTCCTGGTTAATCAGTTAAACATTAGGTTGCCCTAACATTTAACCAGTTAATCAATTAAGCAGGATCTGGCCTGGGGACTGCACTGAGGCTGTTTTGCATGACAGCAGCACCTGTCTGTGGCAGGCCCCCTGTGGGGCTAGAGCAGGCTCCTGCCCATGGCAGGTGGGGAACAAAGGTTACTCACCTTGTGCAGTAACTGGAGTTCGAGATGGTGTCCCTGCGAATGCTCCATGCTGGGTCATGGTGCCGTCTTAGTGCCTGGATCAGAAATTTTGAAGCAGTCCCTGAGGGG